ACATTGTCTTCTACAAATTGCCTAATAAAACTACATACCTGCTAATGCTCAAAAGTCCATTCTTCATCAGACATATTTTCCGGCCTCTGAGTAGTAAAGACTGGAAGATGCAATTTCTTCACAAACAACAAGTCTTTCATCTTGCCCTTCCACAAATGATAATTAGTACCATTCAAAGCTACCATTTTTGTATTTGCCTCTATCATTCAAGCAAGTCAAATAATCCTAAAACCAGAGCCCAAAGAGCTCTGATACCACTCTGTTGGGGAAAACCAAACACAAGAACACAATTATCTAAAGTAAGCAGCGGAAACAATTTCCCAAACTTGCAAGAACCTGTGAGGAGCAACAACAATAACAAATGACAGCAACAAACACAAGGACACAGAAAATTATTTACGTGGGAAAACCCTCTCAATGTGAGAAGTAAAAACCCACGGGCTCAAGCCAGTTAATCAAGCTCCACTATAATCAAATGATGAGTACAAGAGTGTTCAATCAAGTGCACAAATTCGTGCAAACAGCCAGCCAAAATCAAAAGAGCAATAAAGCCTACAATGAAGGATCAAAGAGAGAATATCTCACAAAATAGGACTACTGTTCAGATACAATTTCTCTCAGCTAAAACTTCCAATCGACGATCTCACCGGTCAGAATGAAGAAATATACGTCTGGGAATTACTGTAAAAGTTTCAGCTCAATCCAACGGTTAACTAAGGAGAAATAACGATTTCTCAGCAGCTAGTCTGTGCAGAGTTACCAAAAACAGGGCTTCTGTGCGAAGACAATATCTCCAACTTCAGACCTCCAATCGACCATCCGAACGGTTAGAACGAAGAGCACCGTGTTATAAACCTGCTGTAAAATTTTCAGCCCGATCCAACGGTAAACGAATCGGATATCAAAGAAATGGAGTAACTGGTCTGAAGCTTGTTTTCTTCCCTCACTTCCCTTCTCTCTTTTGATGCCTCTATCCGAAAATACTTACACTAGGCTGCGAAAAAAATGGACTTCCCTCACCCACTCCACTGACTTCTCACTCCCCTCAATTAAGTATAGAAAATGAGCTTAAAAATTTAGACTTTTTTGACATATAGTTGGGAGTGCAACCTAACAATAAACCTAATTCAAATACTATACAAATTGAGTGTGACAGAAAGAAGAGCTGCGTGTATATTAATTCATTTTAAGTTTTAGCAAAAAAATTATCTTTTCCTCTTTCTTGTCCTTTTAAGGGATGATGGTACTAGTTTGACGACGGATGTGACCATTGTAGTGAAACAAATACGAGTTGCAATGGTTCTTGCAAGGACTTATGGTTGTGGATAATGATTCAACTTGGTGGCTCATGATGGAGTTCACTGTAGCATGGAGGGACTCTAGAATTTAGTGACGATTCAGCGTCTGAGAGGTACTCCCAGTGGTTCAACAAAAATTGGCAGTGAAGTGAGGGTCCACAACTCCTAATGTATTTAATTGACGTTTGAAGTTAGATCATCAAAATAATTATTTAAGAAAATTACTTTTAAAATTTATACAAATAAAAAATAAATCCACCTTTAAAATGATTTTTCTCTTAAAATTTAAGAACATTACTCATCTAATTATTTGTTTTTTTCTCGTTCTGATTTATGAAAAATAGAAATTTTTTATTGAAGAAATAACATTTTTCTTGGTCTTTTGCAATCAAACTAAAAAGAAAATGTATGCACATTTTTTCCATAAAGGACAACGACAACAACTGCACCTACTAATGGGACGAAGACTGGTATTACGCTGTGAGCATACTGTCAGAATCATATAAACAAATGGTCCATCCACAACCCTAATTATTGACTGACGTATCACTAACGGAATGCCCAAGTAATGTAAAACTACAAATCTTTGTTACATGTACAAAGCTCTTGAATTAACTATTTATTTAATAAGTAAAATTTTAATTCCCATAATTTATATGCAAAATTATATTTTAATAATATATGCTATTTTCCATTTTAAATTGTTGATAATAATGTCTTTTATTTAAAAGAATTTATTATACTTTAAGATTTTTTATAAATATCTTTTTATAATAATCTTTTTGTACGTTTAAATTTAACTTTTAAAATTAAACTAAAAAATATACAGTTTAGATTAATTATATTTAATAATTTTAAATTAATTTTATCAACATTCTACTTAACTTAAACTAATCAGTTATCCCTAAGAAGTGACCAATGTACTAGACCAGATCACTTAGTGCATTATTTCCTATAAAGAAATTCCAATTCAGTTGTTACTATGCGTAATTTTATAAAAATAAAATTATTTGTAATTTAATAAAATAAAATTTATTTTAATTCTTTTTTGAAAACAACAATAAAATAAAATATTAAAAACAATTTATGTAAAATTAAGAATTTAAGTTGTTAATACTAACTTTTTTTTTTATTCGCAATACTAACTATCTTAAAGAATAAAATGAGTGTTTATTTCACTTCAATTGCAGTTAAATGTAAAAATTTAATTGTTCATACTTTTTACACATTTTAATATAAACTTTGCAATTAATATATTTCACTCGGTTTAATCTTAGTAATGTTTATTTAATTTAATTTTATATATTTTATTCACAATATATTTAAATTTATTTATATTATTATTTAATTTTTACAATAATGATTGAACTATTTTAATAAATAAAACAATTAAACTTTTAGTAAAATAAATAATATGCACACACGTGTGCATATGAGATGCATTAAACAAGATAACTATTTTTTATTTTAAAGGATAAATAATAAATATTAACCATTATTTTTTATACATGTTTAATATACAAAGTTTATTTAATTCATTTAATGTCGACTTTTTACTCTGAAAAATTTTAAAAATCAAATTTATGGTATATCTAATGCCATATTATAATTTTAAAATATATTAAAATATTTATTATCTAAATAATCACCTGTATTGTATAGATAAACTTTATTTAAAATAACAATTCCACACTACTTTAAACAATCTGATCATTGAAATAAAAGATAATCTCGCATGTTTGAGTCTTTTATAAATTTTTTTAAAGTGAGATAAATATAAAATTTTTATTAATACTGTTTGAATATTCTATTTTTCTTATCTTAAAATGAGATATAATTTTCTTCTTTTAAAACTTTATCTTACTAAAAAATAAAAGTCACATACATAACTCAGATAATATGCATTTTATATATATATAAAATTAAGTTTGACTGTTTAATGGATCGTAAAATATCCAATTACTAATAAAAAAAACTTTTCATATCTACAGGTTTGAAATTCATAAATTTAAATTTTGTTACATTATCAAATTAATTATTGATTCATATCATAATATACTTTTCTAATTTATTTATTAATTTTAAAAATAAATGTTTAATATAATTTATATTGCACAGTAAACTGACAATAATTAATTAAGGATATTAATTTTGAAGCATATGCCATTAAATTTAAGTTTTAAATAAATTTTATTTTTAATCCATTTTTATATGTATCAAAAGTAGGATTTTTTTGTTTTGTTTCTCATTCAGTTTAATTTGAATCTAACCAAAATTGCACATTTAGTTGTAGTGAGCGAGTCTATTATTGAAATTTTTTTACATACACAAGGATTCAAATTAATATCTTGCTTAAGCGATACTAAGCTATTTATCATTGTGTATTCAAACCCAATACTTTGCTTAAGTAATACTAAGCTATTTATGACTATGACAAACCTCTATTAGTATATCACAAGTAAGTTGTAGCTATGGTAAACCACCCAGACTTGTATAATATACATTTTAAAGTATTTATTTCAAATTTATTAACTAGACCGATGATATTTTAAGTTTGAATATATTTGAATTATTTTAAATGTGTCGTGTTAAATATGTTGATTTTTTAAAATTAAAATATTAGAAAAATTAAAGTGTACTTTTATTACGTAGAAGTGAGTTTAGAATATCGTTTTAAAAACATAAATAATTCCAATTTCTTTGAATATGACAAATATAAACTCGTTACCTGCCTCAGATTGACTTGAATCAGAAAACCCGAATTAATATCTATACATATAAGTGGTAACTTCACACAAAGAATAGTTGAATGCTACCGTAACATATTCAAAGTTTATTATGGTTGTATTGTTAAATTTTAAACCCTTTTATCGAAAGTTATGTTTTACTTAAACAGGAAAATAAAAGAATTTAATTAAAATATAATGATAAAATATGATTTTTTATATTATTAAAATTATATATATATATATATATATATATATAATTATTAAAGTAATTAGTATAAAATTTAACAATTCTTAATAATGCGACAATCATTAATTAGACGATAGAGTAATTTTTTATGTTTTTAGTACATTTTAATATTTTTATTTTAAAAGTCATACTAAAGCGTAAATTAATTTATTATAATAATGTTTAAAAAATTTCAAAAATACTTATTACACGTTATTTTTATAATACTATTTTATTTAACCAACTATTAATTCATTAGTTAAATAACATTCATCAATATATTTCCTTGGTGTCTTTTTATATTTCTTATTTATTACTCCAGCACGTTTTCTGCATTATTATTTCTTTATCTTTCTTGATAAATATGAAATTAAAAGTACAATGAATAAAAAATAATTAATTTTATCTTAATTTTGAAAATAATGAATATATAAAAACCAACAAATTTCCTTTATAAAAACAAAGGCATTTTTACACGTAAATGGTTGAAAACAATAAATAGAACACAAACACAAAGGCGTCTTTTAAAAACAAAAAGCACAAATTTCTTTTTAGAAATACGAACACATTGGCATCCATCCTCTTCGCCCGATGTCGTTTTGTTTCTTCCTCCAAAGATTTTTGCTCAACTGTTGACTTATTTGACCTTTGGATTATGGATGTTATTATCACGGAAACAACCCCGTGAGTGTTTCAACTTCATTTTATTTAACAACAATTAACGTTTTTTTTTTTTGCGTCTGCAACCTAAACTCGCTCGTTGGAAGAATCTGATTCTGAAGTATTCTTGTTTATCTTTTCCGCTGTTTCTGTCTTTGAAGAGCTTTCTGCTATGCTTCTCGAGTAGACCTCAAAGAACTCCTTGTTTTCCTTCTCTAACTCCTTCCACACTGCTCACAGTCCACATCCCATGCATGCACACGTGGTATTTCCATATAAACAATTAAGTAAGCCCTTTGATTTCAAGAAAAACTGAGCGTGAACACATATAATTTAGCCTAATATACCAAGTGCATGTGAAATTAACTAATTAAAGAATTGATAAATAAAAAATACAGTAAAAAATGTTGATAATGCTAATTATTGTTGTGTCTTTTATTAAAATGTTTTAAGTTTATTTCATTATAACCAACACCCGGAAGGATGTAGTTGTGATTTTCATAATTTTAAATAAAAATGATTGTAGTGAATAATAGGGGTACTAAAAAAATTCAAGTATTTTAAGAATTTGATATATAGCATCTTAACATACCCCTTCACTTAAGAAAGAATATTTAGTGTTTAAAATTTACATGCGGGTGTTTAAGATTCAAACTAAGTATATTGAAATATCATATTCAAAAATTAATCTAAAATCACTTTTAAAGGTTAGTTAAAAAAATTATTTACTCAGTATTTTGCTTATATTTCTAGTTGATATAAGACATCTCAACAGAATGTATAATAATACATGAATAGAATAAAATAGAGAGTTTTTAATCAATTTTCATGCAAAAAATAACGAGAGGGATTACAGAGTAGACGACTGACCAGTGGCGGTAATAATCGGTTTGATATTTGCATGTTTGGAAAGAGCTTCCATGCTTTCCTCTTTACTCATGTTGAATAGGATACACTCCTCTATCAAATGATGCACCTGAGCATTTATATATATACATATTATGACTTCATAAAATGAAATTTAAATCATTATCATTTTAATTATATCAGTTAAGGAAACAGAATAAAGAATCAGTATATCTATTTAGATTCATGTTTAAGTTGTTACAATTTTATAATATTTTAAAGTTGTTAATTATAACTTTTACATTGAATTTAATGTTATAATCTTTTTTATATTTTTCAAACACAGGCTTAATATAGTCGATCAATTAAAGTACAAGACATATTTTTGTCAAAAACTATATACTTGGACACAAACGAGATAGAGGAAAAATCAAGCAAATAAAAAACACACCATATGGATATAAGCAGCTGAGGAGGAGGAATCGTCCATGACCTTGAATATTCTATTGGGTGAGACAAAATTAAGAAGATGAAGTTGCTTTCCTTTTTTTTTTTTTTTTTTTTTGGAGTCCAAACTCTCCTTCTGTGTGATATGATGAGTTTTCTAGTATAAACTATATATAGCTCACATAGTCAATTGAGAAGCGAAGCTAGATATACTTGAACCAATTGGAAGAACAAGAAGAAGAAAAAGAGAGAAGTTAAATTGAGCTGGCAAGATCGATGATGACGATCGAGTAAGAGAGAGAGAGAGAAAGAAACATAGAAAGCAAAAACCATACCAAGAAAGATGATGAAATGGTTGGATTGATAAGAGAGGCCCTTGAACCTATTCCAAGTACAAAGCAAGTTTTTTTACCTGCTATATCATGTAAAAGGATAAATAGAACTAAGAAAAGTCAAAACAATAATCACATTATACATCTTGTTCATGTTTTTGTTTTTAATTAATAATTCAACGGTACTCAATAATTTTCACGTCGTTTTCTTAATATATATTTTTTTAAAGTCCCTTTTATTTAAAAAGAATGAGAGAAAGGTGTATAAACAAATAATATCATTGAAGCGAAGAACATAACAAAGATTAGATTAATTAAGAGGAACATAAGCATATGAATGGGTTGTCCATCAGTTGTAATGTGGTCCATGCTGGAGCAAATCGATATCACTTATTCATGCAATAAAAATTACATGATATTTTTACTATATTAATTATCTTATTTTATTATAAATATTTTTTTTAATAAAATCTTTGTATCTACAACTTCACGAACAAGACTAGGATTGATGAGCTGGTATTTCCAAACCAAGAAAAAATGGCTACATAACACGTGGTTAAAGGTTCATGTCCAAGTGACGAGTGGGCACTCGAACTTTCTCTTTGTTCAAAGTGGCACCCGTTAAGTAAAAAAACACCGATTTGAGAAATTTCAATCAATTTTACAGCCAAAGATTTATTTTGTTATGTACAATTAAACTATATAATCTTCACTTTTGTTAAAAGTGGAGTCGAAGGGAAAGAATCGATGCAGATAACGCGCTAATTTTTTTCCCCATTTGTTAACATACAAAAATTTATCGAGTATATTGAGATAATCTTTGTTAGTGTAAGTAAATGTTGAGATGATTTTTGTTAATATAATTGTTATTTAACAAAAATTAATAAAAACTTGCATAGTCTTTATTAATAACTAATGTAACATACTAATGTTTATGTATTAATAATATATATTAATATCATGTACAAATAAAATTATTTATTAGTATAATATATTACATTATTAATGAAAATAAAAAAATAATAAGTTTTTAAAAAATATTAATGAAGGATACTTCAATAAAAATAAATTGTTAATAAATATTAATTTTCTTTGGGTTCCTCTTGATATCATTTTCTTAATTAGTTCATTATTTGTTCTTCCGATCTATGAACTTTACGTAACACAGACACTGCAACTATATTTTTTTTTTCCTCTTATGAATATATAATTGCTGTGTCACGTACTACAAGCTATTGCTGTACTATATATTAGTATGTACTTCGTTTCGTGAAATACATATTTTTTTAACTTAAATAAAATAAAAATATAAAGTAAAAGAAAATATTTAAATTGTATAAAAGATATGCATGATTAATTTAAATAACAAAACAAACAGTAGTTAACTTAACTTTTGAAAAGAAAAAACAAATTAAAAGTAAAAAAAAAAATAACTATAAGAAATTGAGGTCTGAGATAAAGAAATGATGTAAAAATAAAAAATTTAAATATACTATATCTGATATTTGAAGGAAAAAAATCAGATATAAAAAAAATTATAATAATTTGATAATTTTTAAAATAATAAAAAATAAATCTTATATAACGACGAAGACACGTGTTAAAAAATAGAGTAGACTATGAAATACTTCTGTGCTTAAGAAAGGATGACTTGGATTTATAATGTGACAAATAGTAATTTATTGTAATTGTTAACAAATTATCAACTGCTAATGATATTTATATATAAAAAATTAATATTAAATTAACATCGATGATAATGATAACGAGTAATATGATACTAATGAATATCATGAAAAAATTATAATTTAGACCAAATATAAATAAAGATCAATTTATTTTCTTATTATATGTGATGTTGGATTATAATATTTTTATTATAACAATGTTTACTATCTTTGTTAAGAGATTATGTGTTATACTTACGTTCATTTTTAATTTAAATAATAACTTAAAGAGCGATTTTTTTATTCTTTCTATTTTTCGCTATAATGGTATATAGTTTTCATTTTCTAATGTGAACTAAACACTCCTACTAATTAAGGTCTTTAAATTGATAATGAAATTTATAATTAACTATATAAAATATAGTAAAATAAAAATAAAAATAAATATAGGCAGGTTCGTAACTTTATTATCGAAAAATGTTATAACCTTTTATAATGTTTTTTTTTATTCATTTACTCTAGTAATTCAAATCAGACATTTATTATATTATGATAGAAATAGTTCTTCTGATGATAAATTTTTTATGCATAAGATTTAAATTTAAAATCTTATTAAGAAAATTAAGTTTATATTATTTAAATTAACGTTCACTAATTTTCTATACAATTACTTTACATTTGATAAAGAATATTAAATAAAAACTGAAAAGCATCTTAAAAATAAAATTTAATTTAAAAAAAATTACTTAAAGATTAGCATATTAAAAAAACCTTTTATTTTTATAATAATTAATATAAAAATCACATTAACAATGTATTTTAATTAACTAAGAATATAAAATAATTTATACTAATAATACACTTAAAATTAAACTCTAAAAAACGTTACACAGTTGAATAAGTGAAAAAATCAGTAAATGGTTGGTATCTGACAACTTTCACTCTTGAGAGATGAGCATTCCACAAATTCAGGAAAGGTCTCAAATTGTTGATGATAATGAAGATGGGTCACATGGGTTAACGGAGAGCAGTGCATTATGCATTCAATGGCTATTTATTTACAGAGATTGAGATCATCACGATATCAATCATCTTCTCAGTCTGCCCTTTAAAAGAAACTTTAGCTTTTTGCTAGGTCACGACAACTAATACGTTAGAATAGTAAAGATAAATCCTTTTTTTTTTCTTATTTACTTTCATAAGATGAATTATCTTGTTCTTCTCTTATTTACTTTGAGACTAAGATTCTCTCTCATTTTAGAGTGAACTGAATAGTCTAGGTAAATAAAATTTTATATTTTTATTTAAGTAAATTTTTTTAACTTAAACAAAAATATAAAATTAACGTGACAGGACGTCTAATTACTAAATAGAATTTAAATCTTTTACTTTGATATGATAAACTGAATTTTTCATTCTTAATTTTCTTCTTATATGATTTTGCATATGTCAATGATAAAATTATTGTAACTTCTTAATTTTATGTTTTTGTTCAATTTTATTTTTTAAAGATTTAAGTTTTTTTTTTTTATCATTAAAGAAATATAAGTTGTCATATGAGACTCTTAATATCATTTTTAAAATATAAATAAATATTCATGACATATAAAATGTGAGATAACTTATGAGATTTATTTAGTCAATTTTTAATTGTTGCAAAATTGGGTATAAAAGTTGTTTAAATAGTAGGGAAAAAAAGTAATATGCTGTTATAATGTCTACATGAAAATTATGAAAAAAATATACTTTTATTTATTAAAAATATATAAATATGTAAGTTTCTCTAATTAAAATAAAAGTATACTATTAAATTATGTAAAGTTGTGTATTATATTGTTATTTTATTTTTTATACGAATGCAGAGAATGAAGGATTCTTGAACCTTAATCCCCCAACACCCCCTATGTTAACTTTTATGTTCTAGGATTTATGAGTTGTGATACTACTATTAAATAGTCTAATACTTTATATTGAGGTATGTGTTTATATATATAAGTTTTACAATTACAATCTTAATTCTTAATTTTCTTCTCATGTAATTATATATGTTTTTAAAAATCAATTTATTTATATTTGTCTTCAATTTAATGTTTTTATTTTAAATTTAATTTTTTATCAGTAAAAAAATATGACAATGAATTAAATAAAAAAGATGAAAAGATAAAATTAAAAACAAGAGACTAAAAAAAAATTAAAAAATAAAGGATCAATAATGTTACTTATTTTTATCTTATGATGCATAGCATGCAGCCTTTTTTTTTAAATCTACTTTATATATATATATATATATATATATATATTTATTTATTTAGTAGTATCACTCATTAATGTTCTATACTCACAAAAACCACTCTAAACGAGTAATTCGCTTTGTTTGTATAGTTAGATAATTTAAAAAATAATAATTTAAAATATGTTAATAGATATTTTTAAAATTAAATAGTACCTATATTTTCAACGATTAAATTATTGAATAATATCTATAATTTTAGGTACTGAATAATATACATAAGTTTCGTGAATTATTTATTTTTTATAACTTAAAAAACTAATTTAATGGATGCTTAAATTATTGAAAATTAAAATAATATACTATTCATTTTAATTTTATAAATGTATCAAAAGTCTCATAACATCATGTATAAAATGATACTACTAAAAAAAATTTATAATTTTTTTATAAATTGTAACTATTAAATTTTGTAATATTTTCACGCATGTGTAAAATTTTATATAATTACAAGGTTATCATTTATTTGATCTTGACTTTGTATTAAATTTAGTTTTAATCCTTAAGAAAAAATTATTATTTTTAATTCTCATAATTTTTTTAAAAAAATTTCTTATCACAAAATATTAACATGACATGTATTTAATTATGTGGTACATTTATTATTTTATAATAATAATTTTTGTGATATAATTAAATGTATGTCATGATACTACAAAATAACAGTGGTAGAGACTTTTCTAGTTATTTTTAAAATTATTGAAAATTTAAACTATTTAAAAAATATTTATACTCTTTTTAATATTTTTTTTTGGTCTAAATAACAAATTATTTTCATTAGAGTTAATTCTGTTCAAGTAATATAAAATTATAGTGTATGATAAAGGATAAAAAAAATTCATTATTTAAAATTATAAGATAGTAAAAGAAGAAATAAATTAAAATTTCAATATACCCTTAAAAAATAATAAAATCATTTAAATCAAACATTCGGAAAAAAAAATTAAGGGTATATTTGATTATTATTTTGAAAACAATTTTTTTAAAAATAAATTTTAATACAAATTTATACTAAAATTTATTTTTAAAAACAATTTTTTTTTAAATAGTAATCAAACATGCTTTAAGTTAACCAATTTAAAAAACTTTAATATTTTTTTTTACAAATTTTTCCTTATTAAAGCTTTTATCTTCCCAAATTAAATTAAGTAGAAAGGAACTTTTTTAGAGATTATTTCTTTCCTTTTTTTTTTTTTCAAATTTCTTTAATAAAATACTGTATCAGTAAAACTAAAAGGTAAGTTCTACAGTGTTTAAAAAAAAAAAAATATTTTATATGTGAAACAATTATATCTTTATTTTTAATAATAGAGTTAATAATTTATTTAAAAAATACTTAAATATTCTTTAATATCAAAATATTTAATACTCTTCAAGTCTAAATGTATATAGCAAGCACCCAACTAAAATTCGGTTAATTGAAATGTTTTTCTATTTTCAAATTTAGTTATATATTTTATAAGTTTAATGTCATTTACAATTTTCGAATATAACTTACACTTTATGCATCGTATCAATTAATTTTATATCTTTATTATATTTAACACTTAAATCCTTGAAAAGCATTTCTCGTATTATATTATATAAACATGTATAATTTATATACACATGTATGTACGTATATTTAATACTTAAATCCTTGAAATGTAGAAGCATGTACAGAACTAACCATCGTGAAAGATATTAGAAATTTTGAAAAGTTTGAATTTTGGGTCCGTGGCGCTGTTGAGGGAAGATCTATGTCATAACGGCTATCCGTGCCTACATATATAGTCTCGTCTCAAGTAGCCGTTGGCAATTGGCAAAGCAACGCTTCATTCATTCCCTTCTCTTTTCTCTTTTTCAAATTCGCTTCAGAAACAGCGTGGCCAAATTAAAATCACCGTAAAAGCAGAACCACAAACGGATCCCTTTTCAAACCACTCTTTTCTCAGATTCTCCGATCAAGTATGCTCGAACCTTAATTTCACAGACAACTAATCTCCGTTTCGAATACGAACTTAGGATTATTATTATTATTATCATTTTTATTTACTTTTTTTTTTTTTTTTTAAATTTGGGTTCAAAATTCAACTGATGTTTGCAGAGGTAGAAAACAATGTCAATGACGCCGGATCAGTCTAAGAAAGTAGGATCGGGTATGGCGGCGTCTCCGTCGCCGTTTCTAACACCTCGCCCGGAAAGACGCCGTCCCGATTCAAGAGGTTCCGATTGGAACTCGAATCGTCATGACAAGGATAAAGAGACTAACGTTCAAGTTTTGCTTCGATGCAGGTCCTTACTCTTTCAATTTCACTTCATGCCTAAAAGTTCACACTTCTATTCTACAGCATATGAGCTATTATTTACTATTAAAATTTATTCATTATTTTTTAAATGATAAATTTCAGGCCGTTAAGTGATGATGAACAAAGGTCGAATGTTCCAAAGGTTGTGTCATGTAATGAAAATAAAAGGGAAGTAACTGTTATGCAGACTCTAGCTAACAAGCAAGTAGATAGGGTTTTCACCTTTGACAAGGTATGGTTATTTGTTACTACTTTTCAACCCCTTTTAAGGCTATGTCATTATTTCCATCATCATTCACAAATTAGGAGTGATGATATTAAATCTACATTTCTTAAGGTTTTTGGGCCTAAAGCACAGCAAAGATCAATATATGAACAAGCCATAGCCCCAATTGTGAATGAAGTTCTTGATGGTTTCAATTGTACTGTATTCGCTTATGGTCAGACAGGAACTGGTAAAACTTATACTATGGAGGGTGGGATGAGAAATAAGGTATATTATATGTATACATTTTGTCAAACAACTCCACATTTCCTTAAACACATTGTAGCAGTGTGTGTTTTCTGATCACTGTAATTTACAGGGTGGTGATTTACCTGCGGAAGCTGGTGTCATTCCAAGAGCAGTTCGTCAAATTTTTGATATTTTGGAAGCACAGAATGCTGACTATAGCATGAAAGTAACGTTCCTTGAGCTATATAATGAAGAAATAACTGATTTATTGTCACCTGAGGACAATTCTTCCAGGCCTGTAGAAGAAAAACAGAAGAAACCTATAACCCTTATGGAAGATGGAAAGGGTTGTGTGTTTGTGAGGGGACTTGAAGAGGAATCAGTATACAGTGTAAATGAAATTTATACTCTGTTAGAACGAGGAGCATCAAAGAGGCGCACTGCAGATACATTGCTTAACAAGAGAAGCAGGTCTTTTCCTTTTACTGAAGTTGTTGAAATTCATAATGTTAATTGAAGCTATGTTTTGCTTAACGAATTTTGTTTTGGTGCAGTCGTTCGCATTCAGTTTTCACCATTACTGTGTATGTGAAAGAAACAGTAATAGGTGATGAGGAGTTAATTAAATGTGGCAAGCTTAATCTTGTTGATTTGGCAGGATCAGAAAATATATTGCGTTCAGGAGCACGCGAGGTAAAAGCCAAATTTCCACTTGACTCTATTTTAAATTGTGTGGATGGCTGTTTGCAATTAGAGAAATTTAAATATATCCCGTTAAACTGAATGTGCAGTCATATGGTTATTTGTCTTTTGGCCAGCAACATAAATTGCATTGTAATCAAATAGCAAACTAGATAGATACATCTTATTCTGAGTTTGAAATTAATTAGTTTAAGTAATGCTTGCAACTCAGATTAAGAGCAATCTGAAAGTAGAAGAGGCATAATATAGGTAAAATATGTTTTAGCTGTAAAGTTAGGAGTGTTTAGTTTTAGTTTCCAGGTATAACTTGTTTTATCCTGACTTTTAATTTTCATGATACTTTTTGTCTTTCTTTTTTGTGGACTGGATATCCAATATACGAAGACTACATGGGTCCATTTTGGACTTGCATTAAGTTTGCAACAATGTTGCATGCATTGATAATCAAAATATAACCATGTTAAGTAATAAAATTACAGGGCCGGGCTAGAGAAGCAGGGGAGATAAACAAGAGCTTACTGACCCTGGGACGTGTCATAAATGCGCTCGTGGAACATTCCGCTCATGTGCCTTACAGGTTCTCTATAACGTCATTTTCAATTATCATTGTTTATTTTGAATTTGAAGATACATGCCTGAATATGCATGCCATTTGGTTGTCTGTTGTCTCAGAGACAGTAAGCTTACAAGGATTTTGCGAGACTCCTTAGGAGGGAAAACAAAAACATGCATAATTGCTACTATTTCCCCATCTTCTTATTGTTTGGAAGAAACACTGAGTACACTAGATTATGCTAGTCGTGCAAAAAGCATAAAGAATAAGCCCGAGGTCAGTTACCAATGCTATTGTCCCTTACAATTCTTCTAATTGCATTTTTTTCTGCTCCTTTGTAGTGACATAAGCTCGTGTTTTCTTTATAGGCAAACCAAAAAGTTTCAAAGGCTGTTTTGTTGAAGGACTTGTACATGCAAATTGAGCAGATGAAAGAAGGTACATTCACCCATATTTTAAGTTCTGGAAAATAGAGATGATCACATATCACATCTTTGTCATCACACCATATTGAATGCAGATGTTCGAGCAGCAAGGGAGAAGAATGGTGTATATATTTCTCATGAAAGATTTGCCAAGGAAGAAGCCGAAAAGAAGGTCATATGTTTGTTTTCAGAATATACAGAATGTAAAAATAATAGTATTAGGAAATTTACTAAGAACCATTTCACATCATCCAGAGAAAGAAAAACCTCGGTTTCATTCTTCAGTTAAATGGGCTGAAATTGAGAATCGATGGTATGTTCTATCATGACACACTGGTTTCAACTTCCCTACCGTAATATTTCTTATAACTTCTTCTTTCAGGCAAGGATTGAGAAGATAGAGCAACTAGAGAATGACCTCGGTCTTAGTGAGAAAGTATTTCCTAACTTTTCTTTGGTTGACATTTCTGTTATTTTGTGTGGGAACTTTGTCCCTAAATTTATTTCTTCCTATTTATTTTGCAGCAAGTGGACAAGTTCCGTGAGCTTTATTTAACAGAGCAAGAACAGAAACTGGATTTAGAAAGTGAGCTTAAAGATTGCAAGGTGCGTTTTATATGTGTTGTTGTTAACATATAATAAGAGTAGAAGGATAAAAATGTTTTGCGGAGAATACTTCGATATTATTCACTTGTTCGTTTTAAATAGAGCTAGAGTCAAACATACAAAATAAAATATCCCTTATTTTTAGGCACGACTAACAATAATTCAATTTGATAAACAGAAACAATAATTCAATGACTAAGTCTTAAATAACAGAAAATTAAAATTTAAAAATTGGATAAAACAACCACGTGTGCAGTTGTTGCAGACATATTTTCAACAAATCTCCTCCTTGCCTCAATAACACCTAATTTGTTTCTCAAAGCTTCAAATCTAGATTTTGGAAGGGCTTTTGTTAAAACATCTGCACTTTGATCTTCAGTTCTGCAATAAAGAAGTTTGACTTCACCTTCTCTTTGTACTTCTCTTAAGAAAAATAGCTTAATCTTAAAATGCTTGGTCTTGCAATAAAAAATAGGATTATTTGAAATAAAAATAGCTACTTAATTATCAACAAAAATCTGTGTTGGCTCTTTTTGCTCCATATGTAGATCAACAAGTATATGCCTTAGCCAAATAGCTTGATTCACAGCTGCAGTGGCTGCCACATATTCTGCCTCAGCTGTGCTTTGAGCCACTATATCTTGTTTTTTGGAACTCCATGAAAACATACCCGAACCAAAGCTGAAACAGTAACCTGTTGTACTTTTCATGTCATCATTTGAACCAGCCCAATCACTATCAGAATATCCTTAAAACTGAAAATTTTGAGAGTGAGTGAACTTGATGCCATAATTTATAGTTCCCTTGACATATCTCACAATCCGTTTGGCAGCTTGAAGATGGACCTCACTAGCACAATGCATAAATCTTGAAAGCACACTTACTACAAACATGATATCAGGTCTAACATGATATCAGGTCTAGTTGCACTAAGATACATTAGGCAACCAATTATACTTATACTTCTATAATGATATTCATCTACCTTATCGGCTCCATCATCTTTGCTGAATTTTTCTTTCTGGTTCATTGGTGTATCAATGCTTTTGCAGTCCTCCATGCAGAACTTCAGTATTTCTTTTGCATATTTGTTTTGACATAGAAAAACTCCATCTTTTTCTTGCTTCACCTCCATTCCCAAAAAAAAGGACATTAAACCAAGATCTGTCATCTCAAACATTTGAAGCATTTTAGCTTTGAACTCCATCATTAGTTTTTCATTAGTGCCTGTCACAAAGAGGTCATTAACATAAATAGAAACTATAATTAAATCACCTCCTGCCATTTTCACATATAATGTAGCTTCATTTGGACTTTTAATAAATCCAAGTTTTTTAAGATAATCATCAATTCTTTCATACCAAGCCCTTGGAGCTTGTTTAAGACCATACAAGGCTTTCTTTAGCTTGTAAACCTTATCTTTTTGTTCCTTAACTTGAAATCCCTCTGGCTACTCCACAAATATCTCCTCTTGCAAATAACCATTTAAAAATGCAGATTTTACATCTAAATGGTAAATTTTCCAACCTTTGTGTGCAGTCAAAGCAAGCAGCATTCTGATTGTATCGAGACGTGCAACGGGAGCAAACGTTTCTGAAAAATCCACTCCAAACACTTGAGCATAACCTTTTACCACCAACCTGGCCTTGTGTTTATTTATAGGGTTTAGGGTTTAGGGTTTAGTTCTATAAACCCATTTGACTCATTTGACTCTTATGGGTTGTTTGTGTTGAGGTCGATCTACTAGCTCCCAAGTGTCATTTTTTTCAATCATCTTAAGTTCTTCCTTCATAGCATTAATCCACTTCTCATCCTTTTCAGCTTCTTCAAATTCAGCAGGTTCTAAGACAGCCACATTACACTTTTAATAAATCTCGGATAAAGATCTTGTACCTCTGACAGGAATTTCATCAACTTCATCATCAAGGAGTTGTGGAGTTTCTAGAAGTTGCTTTCTTACTGGCTTCTCCCAACTCCACTGTTGATCTTCCATGAACTTTACATCTCTACTCACAAGAATTTTTTCATTTTGTGGTTGGAAAATTCTGTAAGCTTTAGCCGTGTTACTATATCCAATGAAAACTTCGGGTTCAGCCTTTTTGTCAAGTTTGTCCCTTTTAACCTGTGGAACATAAGAAAAACAAACACAACCAAAAATTCTCAAATTTTGTAAATCTGGTTTGTACCCAAACCAACCTTCAAATGGAGTTCTTTTGTTCAAAACTCTACTTGGCAGCAGCCTATTCAGCAAAAATACAGCAGTGCTTGCTGCCTCTGCCCACAGCTTCTTTGGCAAATCTTTCTCATGTAACATGCACCTTGTCATCTCCATGATGCTTCTATTTTTTCTCACACTTACACTATTTTGTTGTGGGTTGTATGGTACTGTAAGTTGGTGCTCAATGCCAGCTTCTTCACAAAATTTATCAAAAACGTCATTTGTATATTCTTTTCCATTGTCAGACCTTATTATTTGTAATCTGCAACCACTTTGATTTTTCACAAATGCTTTATATTTCCAGAAAATATTGGCAACCTCAGTCTTGGATTTAAAAAAATAAATCCAACAGTATCTAGTATAATCATCAATAAAAGTAATATAATATTTATTACCATTTAAAGACAATACTCTCTGAGGTCCCCCAACATCTGTATGAACAAGTTGTAGTCTTTGAGTTGCTCTCCAAGTGATTTGAGGAAATGGTTTTCTGACTAGTTTACCAAGTTGGCAAGCCACACAATCTACCAACTTGTCTTCAAGCATCGAGACACCTTTCACCAAGACATGTTTCTGCATGTATAACAGTCCTGCAAGATGAAAATGTCCAAGTCTTTTGTGCCATAGATCAGCATCGGTGGTTGTGCTTGAAAAAGCTATTTGCTCATCCTCCATCAGATTTAGAGCATAGCTCTTAGATCTCATTTTCACTCTAAATACATCTTTGCCTTTTGTGTCTTTGATCAAGCACCAGTTATTTTCAAATATGACTTTGAAGCCCTTTTCCACAAGTTGTGCAACACTAAGCAAATTTTGGTCAATGTTAGGCACATATAAAACATCAGAGATATACTTCAAACCTGTCAAGCTTTCAATAGCGATGGTCCCTTTCCCTTTAACTGAGATGAAATCACCATTTCCAATTTTTACTTTGGAAATGGTGGTTTTGTCAAGCTCTTTAAACAGCTTTTCGTCGTGGGTCATGTGGTTTGTGCAGCCGCTGTCTATTAACCATGAGTCACTAGAACAGTTGATTGTAGTGAAATATGTTGCAACAAAGAGTTGCTCATCTTCTTGCTCCTCCAAGGTGACATTTGCCTCTTTTGATTTAGACTTGCAGACTCGCTCTACATGTCCCAAATCACCACATTCTCTACACTTGATATCTGGCCTCCACCAACATCTTTCTTTTGGATGATTTGTCTTTTTGCAATGTGGACAAGGGGAAAAGTTCTCACCTTGCTGTTCGTTGAAACCTTCTAGCTTTTTGTTCTTCCATTTGTTGTTGTTTTTGCCACCTTTTGAATTTTGTGCTTTTACATGAAAAGCACCTTGTACCGTCTCATCTTGTCTCATCATTCTTCTTTGCTCCTGGGCCTGTAAAGCATTTACCAATTCTCCCAAGGTGATGGTTGACATGTCTTTTGACTCCTCCAATGCTGATATCTTTGATTCATATTTTTCTGGTACAGTAACTAGAATTTTTTGAACTATTTTTTCATCAAGAAAGTCTTTCCCGAGAAGCTACACTTTATTTGCTATATTCATCAGTCGATCAACATAATTTTTAATTGTTTCTGTCTCCTTCATGCTCTGCATCTCGAATTCTCTAGCTAAGTTAAGCATTTGCATGCCTTTGGTTCTTTCACAACCATAATATTGTTCCATAATATTGTTTCTTGAGATAATCCCAAATCTCTTTGGCAGATTTGAAATTCATAATTCTTGTAAAAATGATTTTTGACACAGCAGAAAAAAGGCAATTTTTTGCCTTTGCCTTTTTTGTCTTTCTCTCCTTGTGGTACTTCATTTGAGCCACAGTTGGATTGTCAGGCAATATAGGAACATCATAATCTTCTTCTACTGCCTCCCAAAGATCCAATGCTTCAAGATGACAGATCATCCTTGCAGCCCATAACTCATATTCCTCACCATCAAAAATTGGCGGTGAACCTACTGTGTATGTATTATCCTCCATTGGTGTTTCTCTCAACTCATAGATCCCTCAAAGATAAAGGCTCTTGATACCAATTCGTTTTAAATAGAGATAGAGTCAAACATACAAAATAAAATATCCCTTATTTTTAGGCACGACTAACAATAATTCAATCTGATAAACAGAAATAAAAACTCCTAATGACTAGGTCTTAAATAACAGAAAATTAAAATTTAAAAATTGGATAAAACAGCCACGTGTGCAGTTGTTGCAGGCATATTTTCAACAATATGCAATGCAAATAAAAGCTTCATAATTTATCCTTGAAAAATATTTTTCTCAAGTTAAATTACTCTTATAGGTGAATTTAGAAAAAACCACCAACATCTTGCATGATCTCCAAGAGAATTACAAGCTACTAGTTTCAACCCTGAAGGAGAAGGAATGCACCATTTCCAAGCTTCTGAAATCAGGTAACTACTAAATGATGGTTTATGCTGGCAGATTTATGCTGTTTTTATTCAATTCACTGTTGATTTGCTTTACTTTGTGTGGGAACAGAAAATGCCTTGATTGAGCGTGCAAAGGAAATGTGTACTGATCTGCAGAATGCATCAAATGATATTAATTTACTGTCCTCAACGTTAGGTATGGTTCGTTGTTCCAGTTCCAGATTTAAAATCCTTTAAAAATATGTTTTGGCAGGAATTTTTTTTCCTTATGTTAAATCGCAAGATTTCATCAGGAAAGTAGGAGAAAGAAAATGATGTGTTAGACAGTGGACATCCTAAATGTTTTATTTTTCTTCTCTGAGGTATTGTTAATAATTATTCTTGTAGATCACAAAGAAAGGATGGAGGCAGAAAATCAAAAAACAATATTGAATTTTGGATCTCTCTTAAATGAGAGCTTAAAGGACTTGCATACGACCATTATGGGATCTATTTCTCAGCAGCAGAAACAACTTAGAAACATAGAAGATCATGTCAGCTCCTATCTTGCCAGAAAAAGTGATGTAAGACAAGTGAAGAAATCTTGTTTCATTTACTAGTAATGCTTGCTTACATGGTCCACTCATCATATGGATTATGATAATCTTTTTTCAGTCTGCACAAGCTCTAGAATCAAGGATAAATAAAATGACCGGGATTTTTACTATGGGAGTAGACACCCTGAAAGATCTAGCAAATACATTGCACTTGAAAGCTTCGTCTGATATGGAACAGATACAATCTGAAGTTTCATCACAAACATTGGCTGTTGAGAATGTAATAAGTGAAGAAATTTTAGTTGTTTCTTTTTTATTTTTATGTTTCATTGACGACATTTTCAGTTCAGCGAATGCAAGAAATGTTTTTCTAAAAAACTGTTATTTCGATCCTCCAATGTTGATAATGTTGCGCCCCTTACAGTTTCTTGCAACTGCTGTTCTTGAAGCCAAGGATGTAATATGTAACATCCATAATTCCCTTGATGAGCAAAAACAGCTGCTAGCATTCTCCCTCCAACAACAAGAGGAAGTATGTTCTACTTACTTGTAACTGTTGTCCATTTGTAATATTTGAGCAATAGTTTAATCGTGCAAGTATAATCCTCGCGCATCAATGTAGGGATTACAACGAAGTTTGGCTTCAGCACGAGTAGTTTCAGAGGCAGCTGTGAACTTCTTCGATGACATTCATCTACGTTCTTCGAGAGTCACAAAAATTCTTGAAGAAACTCAAAATGAGAGGTTCCAGCAATTAGCTAACTTTGAGAAGAAGTTCAGGGTACGCAGACATTGATCTACTTATACCCTGATCTTAAAGCAGACTCATGGTTGATTTTTTTCTCCATTAACCTGAAACAGGAAGAGGTTGAGAGAGAGGAGGGGCAAGCCTTAGAGAAAATTGCAGCGATTTTGGCAGCCTTGACATCTAAGAGAACTGCTATGGTCCGTCGGCTGACTTCGTTGTTCTATCTGTTTCGTTTTCTTGCTGCTGTTGTACACTAATGCATATTGTATTTAGTATATACTAACTGAATTCGGAAAAATATGTATTTTAGGTCTCAGAGGCATCAAGAACTATGCAACACACGAGCATGCAACAGACTGAGAGATTGCAGCTAGAGATGCTCAACATGCAGCAAGTTTCAAAAGATGCTACTAAGGAAGTTAATGAATATGTCGAGAATTGGAATAGTCATTTTGTGGAACAAATATTCTCAGCCAACGATATTAAAGCTACCATGGAGAATTGCCTCCTGGAGTGGTGAGTTTTTACTTGTTCTGTTCTATTCTTTTCGTCTAATGTTTTCCCCTTCACACATGTGCATGATTAGGAGATAGTAGAGAGACAGAAAGTATTTTTACATAACATTGAAGTACAAAATATTGAATTTATTTAATATTGATTTGTTCAGCCTTCTTCTTTGCTTATAAATTCTTACAATGCTATGCAGCTCAAAGACAGTGGACCTTTCTAGGAAGCAGTGGGAAAGTGCCCACTTGTCCTTCAACAGTCTCCACAAGAACAATCTTGCGAAGATAGAATCTTCAGTAAAGTAAGTGTTGCTAGTTAGTGTCACAGACTAGAGTTGTTCTTAATGGGAGAGAATCAGCAGTGAAGTTAAGAATGGTTTTAACTTTTATTGATGGGTAACAGGGAGAACATCTTGAAAAATCATGCTCTGAATCAAGAATTTGTGTCTGCATCATTATCTATGGATTCAGATTATGATGCAGTAACACGCAACTTGCTGGCAGATGTAAATGGTAAATTAAAGTTCTCAGATTATTCCCCGTCTTTAATATTTTCTATCATTTCTTTGTCTTTAATTTGACTGAGCCAAAACAAAATATGTCCAGGTGCACTGATGCTGGACCATGAGAATAAGAAGGAAATTGATTCCATGAGTACAAGGTGGTTGGAGCTACTTAACTCGTTACAAGATAAACATAGTGAAGATATATCTAACATCCATGTTCAGGCAGAAAAGTGCCTCGTTAGAGACTACTTGGTACATTTTTTTTTACGTTGTTGAGTTTTTGGATGATGAATACACACCTTTCAAATAAATGGAAAATAAAAAACAACATATTTATGAAAAGCTTGCTACATATTTTTATTATCTTGTGCTTAAAAGCTTGTTCTGTTGTTTATGAAAAGGTTGACCAGAATGCAAGTTTAGCATCTCAGAAAAAAATCATCTCAGTTCCTAGCCCTGCATCCATTGAGGAGATGAGGACACAGATTACAGAAGACAATTCCACTGAGAACAGATTAAAATTGATACAAGTGGAAAGCAAAATCCCGCGTCTAGCAGCATCTCCAAATCGAACTCCTTTTGCAGATGTGAATTGACTATAATTTCAGAAAGTTGGAGTATGAAAGTATGAAACTTCTTCACAACGCTCATCACTTGATGAGCACCGCTCTTGGTATTGATTTTAGGTATCAGACGCCAGAGACGAGTGTAAAAATCTATTTGAATTTTTTATGTGCATGCAGTGTGATCTGCACGCAAACTGTTTGTAGTTTGTATTTCTCCATTTTTCTTGAGTCCTTATCAATGCATTAGATTATTCTATTTTGAAAATGCGCTGTTTGAATTTTTCCAAGTGCTTGAAGCTGTCGTGTGCCGCAATGCAATTACGATTTTTAAACTTGAAAACGAATTCGTGCACTGAATGTTGTAAATTAATGGATTTTTTTTTCTTATTTTAAGAATATTTTAATGCATAAAATACAAATTGTGAATGTAAATTAATGGGTTTTTTCTTATTTTAAAATTCGTAAAATTTTGGTGTGAAAACCGCTCGTATTTAGACTCATACTCAAATGCATTATTTTTTTTCTCTGACTTCGTGTGAAGAAATTTCACTTGTATTTTCTTCTAGACTATTTCGTTTTCTTTTTTCTTCTAGACTTTTGTATTGTGAACAGTTTTTTGCAATACTACTAAAATTGCAACTAGCACCGCAACCGCAATTTAAAAAGCACGGAAAAAGTTATATTGAACACCAAACTTGTACACTTCACCGCAGTCCGCGTTGAACGAAGAGGGAAAGTTGCTCACCATCTGTTCTCTCCCTCTCATATTAAGATAGTAAATATTTTTTAAGAAATTATTAATTACACAAGTTATGAGTAATACATACATTATCATTATTTTAATACCTAAAATTATAAACTGATATTTAGCAAAAAAAAATCTCTGATAATTTATTATATGAAAAATATTTTTTCGACCACGAAGTGAAAGAAAAAGTGAAGGCCAACGACATATCCTTCGTTATTATTTTAAAACAAATTTTGCTTTAAAAATAAAGTTGTGTTATTTAATTTATCACGTTTAGTAATTTGTTAGATGATTTAACAAATGCTTATAATTTTAAGTGTTAAATAATAACTTTTTAAGAATTAAGAATTATATTTTATAATTTGAAAAATTAAATTTAATAGTACTTATAATTTTAAAGGCCAAACTAAATATAGCTTTAAATTTTAAATAATTATTTTTACATAATTTCAAGGACCAAATTGACATGTATGTGTTATTTTATAATTTTAAGGAATAAAATGATATATTATTCCACAAATTATTATAATAAAATTAAATAATTTTTATTAAAATATTCTTATTAAAAGACTTAAAATGTAGTTATGAATATATTTAAATAAGTAAATGAGATATTAATAAATTTAAATATTATTAAAATTTTCTAAAGTGATAATTATTGAGGTAAATTAAAATAGACAAAAATAAAATAAAATCGGAAGAAAGGAGTAACATCATGCACTTTTACACAAAATAAATGTTCAGACAGAAAAGTCAGAAGGTGCTGACCCATCTTCAATATGTTCTAGAAACTGTATTGGAGAATATTCTGACAAGAAAGTGGAAGCTTCGTTGAACAGTTGCAGAAGTATCCTATTTATTACCTTAGTGCTTAAGGATCCTTCACTCGGTGGCTCAACCATGCAAAGCGCTGTGTCACCACGCGGCTACAATGTGAACTGTGAACTAGGAGTGTGCGTGGGGCACAAGTATAATTGATTCAAAAAGGAGAAACCCAAGAAATACCAAAACAAGACAACATGCAATAAGCAATTACGCAAGCATTAAGGGTGTTCGCGTAATTACATCAAGTCAAAAAGTCAAACTTGTTATTGTAAGGTTAACAATATGGACTTTCCTTAGTTTTGAGGTGGAACAAAGACCAGTGTCCATGTTCTACTTTTTGACTTTTTCCCCGATGTCTATAAATACTAGGTATCGTGTTAGAGTGTTCCTCACAAGACACTAACCCATCTCATACATTACACACATTCACATTAAACATGGTAGCCATTTTGAAGAGACAAAGAGAGAACCAAGAAAAAGAGAGCATAGATTTGGCCAATAGTTTGATGCTACTCTCTCGTGTTCAACAAAGCAAACCCTTAATGAAAAGTTATGCTCCAATGGAGTTTGAGTGCAAGACGTGTAACCGCAAGTTCTCATCATTTCAAGCCCTTGGTGGCCATAGGGCTAGCCACAAGAAGCCCAAGTTTGATGGAGAAGATCTAAGAGCTGAGGCCAAGGCTCTTAGCTTGTGGAATAAGCCCAAAATGCATGAGTGTTCCATTTGTGGCATGGAATTCTCTCTGGGTCAGGCACTAGGAGGACACATGAGGAAGCATAGGGGTGCCATCAATGAAGGGTTTTCTTCTATAACCCATGCTATTGAGAAAGCCCCGGTTCTCAAAAGATCGAATAGCAAAAGGGTTATGAGCTTGGACTTGAACTTGACTCCTTTGGAAAATGACTTGCAATTGTTGTTTGGAAAGAAGGCACCTCAAGTTGATCTTTCTTTGTTCTGATTTGTGACCCATTTTTGGATTGATGTATTATTCTTTTGATTCTTTTGTATGTAAAGATTTGTTATTATTGATTTGTTGAATTTAGGGGACGATTCGCAAATAGCTATTCAACTGTGGTTTGGTGAATTTGTGACTTGTAAGGAAGTAGCTAGATTAACTTTCGAATTAATTTTATTGTACAGTTAATTAATTAGGAATAGTGGTTTTCGGTCTTTCGCATTCCAATGGGATTATAAGAATTTCCAAAAATATCAGAACTCTGAGAAGAAAACTGCATGATAAATTGGCGTCATTTTTTGGTGTTTGTTTTATTATTGGATAATAATATTGAATACGCAATATGCATTACGATGTTATTGGTGCCTTACAAATGTTTTTCTTCCCCTGTTTCTATGCATGGATGAAATTTCTCATGTACTTCAAGATAATTATATCCGTTCATTAAAAACAGATCACACTACACAGCAACATCAATAATATGCAAGACGTAAAACGGTGCATTAATCCTCTAACTTTTCACTTTTCACTCCATCAAGATTAGCGAGTATCATGAACATCGAACAGATATTTTTAACTTAAATAAATTTGATTAGTATTGTGATAATGTGTTACTCCACGTTGTAACATGCTTTCAGTGTTGGAAAAAAATGGCAAATTTTTCTTAGGATTTTAAAAAATAAAATAATAAATATGAAAATTTTAAAATTAGAGAAAAATTATGGTTGTTGTCTAATGAAAATAAGAAAAATAATACGATGTAAACATTAATATTAAAATTTATATTAACATATATTATAAAAAAATTAAATTTTAATTAAAGAATAATTAAAAAAACAGCTAAGCATTGTAGCTAAATTTTGTTCCTGTCTTGTTTCTCCTTCATTCACTGTGGATCCTTTTTCCAGATATGCAATATTTCTTGTATAAGGTACAGATCCTTTTTTGTGATGCCAACTCAGATCACTCTAACAGTGCTTTTTTGTTTAATAATAAAAGTAAATAAGTAGATCCTAATAAAGTTGCTCTATCATAGTTCATTAGTTCTTGATGCTTTGTAAAAGCAAGCACTAGGGAAAACCGTATCGACGTCGACATCATATCCTAATGTAAAACGTAAAGGACCTTGACCTGTGGCAATGGAGCTAGAAAGGCAGAAAATATTTGATTCAATCACGTTCTAATCCAATTGACACAGGTTAATCCTTGTACATAGAATCAGGATTCTGATATGATATGGAACATTATTAAAGTAATTCCTATAAACACAGCTTGTTCCGAAGTTGCCTCCTCTTTTCTTCGAATTTCATTTTAGGCATCAAGAGACAGAGAGGAATTGAGGGAATAATAATGGAAAGCTGGGATATGAGAAATCTTTTAATCCATTTAGGCCATTAAAATCAATGGTCCTTTGACCTTTTGAATTGTCATGACTAATTAGCTTACTTGCATTAATCAGTTCATTTCATGCTAACGTGTGTTCATATATTTATGAGTAAGCCAAAAAAGTAAATCTCTGTCTTTTATTTTAAGAGTTGTGGGACCTATATATAAACATCTCTGTCATCAAACAATTTCCATACACTAAGATATATCAAAATTAATTAATAATTTCACCAAACTTATTTAAATACTTAATTGATAAATTCTTTTTAAACATCGTTTGTGACATAAATTTAATAATAAAAGAAGTCTGTTTAAAATAGTTTATAAATAACTTATAACTCTCGTTTTTAATTTATTTTAATTCTTACATTTATAAAATCTTATAATATTTACTTTTTTCATGTTAAAATTTTCTAAACTACTTTTTTCATTAATATTATTAAAAAATTGTCATATAAATTTATAAACTAATTCACATTATTCTGTTTTACTTTATTAAAAAAACTTGTAAAACAAGAGCATGATTAAAATTTTATAATTATTATAAACTATAATCATTAAATTTTAAATTATAGACTAAATTTTAATAATACCTTTATTATTTTACATTTACTGGATAATTTAATAACTAATTTTATCAAATATTTTTAATTCAATCAGTTTTTAATCAACTCATCTATTAAGTTTACTAAACACACCCTAAGTATATGTGAAAGAGTTTACGAAAGTTTATAATTTTATATTTTCTAAAATTTATTTAATGAATTTTATTATTTAATTTATGCTATAAATTCTTATACAACAATAACTATTAAATTTAATAATCAATGTTTGATTAAATTATTTACTCAAACTCCGTAGACTTAGTATGAAAAATTATTACAATTAATTTTTGATTATACTACTATAAATAATTAAAACAAAATCCTTATTATTTTCGATCTTCCGTACCGTTATCACCCGATAATTTTGAGTAGTCATCGTTTTCCTTTGTGATGTGTAAAGTTTCGTTGTCTTGACAATAATCTCCAAAATGTCTCGCTGCAGATCGAACGTGTCAAGGAAAACGGAAACGTTGAAAAAGCAAACTGCACGTCAATATATTTATCGCACACCAAATTGGTATATGTCAACGCAGTCCATATTGAAGCTTTAGAGTGGCCATATAATTATTGAATTTAACTAGAATGTATTACCAATGTAACATTTTTTTATATTGTGATTTACTCCTAAATTTCTATATAAGATATAATATTTAATTTTATGATAATTAATACAAAAATTATTCTGTGTATTTTAATTGTTGACAGTATAATTTCTTTTTATAGTGCATCAAAGCTAAATTCATAACTATGAGATATGATATCATGTCTTGTGCTTATTTGCTATCTTTCAAGTAATGTGTTTTTAATGTAGTGTTTGCTGTTGCTTATGTTATTTTTAGTAGTTTAGAGTCATCTTAATTGTTTTTCATTTGTTATCTTTATTAATATAAAGAGAGTTCATGCACCAAGAAAATGAGCATGAGCTATGTTAATATAATTTGATTTTAAACTATGAATGATTTTGCCTGAAGTAGGTGGAAGTTGATTATCGCATCACCATTTGATGAAATGTAATCGTAACCATTCTTTTGAGAATCTTATTATAATTGAAAAACTTTTACATTGTATTTTAATTTCATTGCTTCAATTAAATTGCTTTATTATTATTTTTATAGAGTCTAGTTCAATTTCAATAATGTCCAACTATTTTGATTTAGGAACTAATGTGTATCAATATTATTCTTCACGGGAATTAATGATGCTCTACTTTTGTTGTATTATTTTTAAAAACTCGTGTGCTTGTCGAAAATGTATCAATAACTTGTTAAAGAAAAACACTTAACAAGGAAACGTGATAAAAAATAAGTCTAGTTGACCTTTTTCCACTTTTCATTTTTAAAATTAAGTGAGAAATAATCAACAATGGAAGGAATTATCTTTATGAAATCAGTTGGATTTTGCTCATCGAAAAAAAAAAGGTGTATGTTCTCAGTTGCTTCCGTTTTTCTTCATTATACATAGAACCGTATCTATCCTTATACAATGATTTCTTTCATTTGGTCATAATTTTGTTAAAATATTGTCATTACTTTGGACACTTGAATGCCAATCACATTTAAACATGTCTTATTTTAAATTTAGGTCTGCTTTCAAAAAATCTCAGCTTTATAACTTATGCTTAAGAAAAGTAATAAGTGTTACCTATGTTTTAAAAATTAAAATATTACCCTTCTAAACGTTCCTTAAACCTTTTTTCTAAGAGTAATTTATAAAATAAATAACAAATTGAATTATGAATCCAAAAACACCATAAATTATACATATGCATGCATAATACAGAAGAACTTTTTTTTAATCTTTGACATTCTAAATTTCAAACAAGGACCACTTGCTTCTTTGGTTATGTAGCTCACCACACACGACTTATTCACTAGTTGCACGCCAAAACAACGTAACGTTGCTTCCCAGTTCCCACACGGTCATATCATAGTTCTTAAACTTGCAAGCGTAAGCCACACGAGGGCAAAATCTTTTATCTTATCGAAAAGAAACATTTGTTGTGCCAAATGTGACCAGAAAATTCCAAAAGCAGCAAAGGATATTAATTTCATTGCATAGTATATTGGACAAAGCTTACATTTAGCTTCTTATATATTTTTCTATCAAATTCACAAATTACATAATAGAATTATTTTTTTCCTAGTTCAACAGCATGTTCTTAGCGAAGTTATTTAATGTTAAAAGTAAAAGAACTCACTCGTGAATTATATACTAAAGATAAACTTTGTATAAATTATGTCCAATTTTATATACTAAGTCAAGGAGGCAGTCCAACAACCGTTAATACTCTGACTTTCCATATTTGAAGCATTCGTTAAAGATTATTATAATATTAAGCAAAAAGAGCCTCCAAGAACTAGTTTATTTATATTTAAATCAGTCAAAATCCTTGACTTTGGTCCCTAACGGCCTATAAATACCAAACCTTACGTCCCGAAGTTATCGTCAAATCTAAATTTTTCAATTCCTTCTTTAGCTTAAGTTCACTGCCCTTAATCACGCTGCATATTCATACTAAAATTCAGCGTTCGTAGCCATGAAGAGACCGAGAGATGAAGGAGTAAACAGCATAGATTTGGCAAATTGTTTAATCCTGCTCTCTCATCCCAGCAGAGAAAGCAAACCCAAGAAACGTTTAGGCCCTGAAGAATTTAAGTGTAGCACATGTAACCGTAAGTTCTCTTCATTTCAAGCCCTTGGTGGCCACAGAGCTAGCCACAAGAAGCCCAAACTAGAGGGGAAAGAACTCAAAGAACAAGACAAAGCTCTTCTGAGCTTATGGAATAAGCCCAAAACCCACGAGTGTTCCATTTGTGGTTTGGAATTCGCTCTGGGCCAGGCACTGGGTGGACACATGAGAAAGCACAGAATTGTTGCCAACGAAGGGTTTTCTTCTATAAACCAGGTTGTTGCTAAAGTCCCAGTTATGAAAAGGTCCAATAGTATGAGGTTTATGTTCTTGGACTTGAACTTAACTCCTCTGCAGAATGACTTGAAGTTATTGTTTGGAAACATGGCACCCAAAGTCGATTCCTTCGTCTGATCTTCGTTTACGTAACTGATAACTTCTGTTTGTAATGTGCAAGTACTTGATTCTAATCTTTTGTTTTTCTAACACATGTATTCTTTGATTCAATTCTTTAATGTAAAATTGATTCTTTTTATTGTATACCATCAACTTACGTTGTTTAATATATGATACTTTTTTTATTATTTATGATCACATTGCAGAGAACCGTCGCATTATAGAAACTTTCAGCATAATCAATATAAATAATTAGTATTTTTTCTTTGAGGGTAAAAATATTAATATTTTTAAAATAATTAATAATGTTTTAAAGTTTTTAAAATATTAAAAAAACGGTGCAGTGATAAAAAGAGAAAACAAAGATATATTAAAAATATTTTCACGTTCAACAATGAAAATATTCATAACATGATGAAAATAAGTTTCTCAGTATAAGTTGTCTCCCACATAAGACTTCAATTAAATACTTTAATTATTTAAGAGAAATTAAACATATAGGACTTAAAAGAGAAATTCGTGGGTGAATATTTAACATTTTAGCTCATTTAATATGGCTAAATTTAGAATCAATTGTATTTAAGAGTGTGTAACGTCATTTGATGGCCGGTTTTGAAGAACGACATTGATCTGTTGCTGACAAAGAAAACCATGTACTGCTTGAAAGGTAAAAGGTACAAGTCCAATTACTATTCGTTTTACCAAAGACGACGCTATCATCAATTGAATAGGGACTGCATGAGCATTGAGCAGAACGCTAACGTTGAACAGGGAACGTTGACATTGAACGGAGATTTATTTCATTCAACGGGGCGAAAAGATTATTATTATTATTTTGGTCAGAGCCTAATTATTTGTTTGGAACAAACGATTTCTTCTGATGAACAACAAAAAATTGGGCCATCCTGATTACTGATGTGATGAGCTAGAAGCCCAATTATACTCATAATTGGAAACTATATATTTATGGAAGTGACCTTTCGAGGCAAACTACAGCTCTTCTTAATTATCTGTGTTCAAAACATTAAATACTTTTTTTAATCTTTTTTTATAAGAAATTAAAAACTAAATTATTAAGAGTAAGAAAAATAATTAAGTATATTATATTTTTTATAAGTATAAATTTTATTCTAAAAATATCAATGATATTGAATGATGTAGTTAGTAATTTATATATTTAATGATACTAATAAAAGAAAAGTATAAAAAAATTTAATAATTAATGCATCTTAAATTTATCATTTATATTTTATAATAAAGACTAAGAAAATATTCTATTTTATTTTTTTTATAAAAAAGATCAGAGAGAGTATTTTTATTTAAGAGCTTTATGAAAAGAAAATTAGTTCATTGTAACCATATAAAAAAGAAAAAAGATTTTTATAAATATTATTCTTGATATTTGAAAAGGAAAACTTGTGTCATAGTGATTCGAGTGAATGTGACATCCCAAAAACTGATTTGTGAATTTTTGCTTAAAATTACTATCGGTAAAATTAGTTATCAATTTTGATCTTCAATTTTGTAGTTGTGAAACTCAAAATTTGTACCTAGTTGATTGAATTAAAGTTGTTTAATAAAATTTGTGCAACTAACTAAAATATATTAAATAAAAAAATGTAATTATCGTATGAGTGTAAATTATTTAAAAATTAAGAATAAAGCTGAAAAAGAATTATTGATAACTAGGTTTTGAAAGTTAAAAGTTATTTTGGATACTTTTAAAAGTTATGAACTCTTTTTCTTTTGCATAGTTAGAGACAGCCTAAGTTGTGTCACTGTTTGAAGATATGAAATTAATTTACTTCATGGAAATGAAGGCAAAGACGAATAAAAGTCCTCCTAAATTTATGCCACACGGACGAGTTCTGCATTTTTGTCCCTCTTGTTATGCACATGATGAGAACTTACTTTATTTGGAAATGGCTAATTATTAACAAACATTGATAATGCTGGTTTTTTACTTTTGATCCTCCATGCATAAAATGATCGGTTGCTTCTTGTAACAAAATCTATCCAAATGAAATTGGTCCTTCAAGAACGATCCACTATCATTTAGCTTTAACTGCTAACTATTTCTTTATACAAGCTACTATTATATAACGGAAGAATAAACAAAGCCTTATATAATTCACAAACAGGCCATACGTGGTGAGGTTTATCATTTCTAAGTTATAAGCATACACATTTGGATTTTTTTTAAGTGTCGAAAAGGATTATCATCACCCAACTTTCGTACGAACATATATAAAGCAGGTTACTATTTCATGCAATCGATGGTAATTCGCATGATGGGAATAATTGTTTGCCTTATCATTATATTTGATCCAACCGAGAAGCTAAGACCCATATTATTATTATTGCAAAAGAATTCTAAATTTTCTTTTGTTAAAAAAGTTTCTGTCATCATGCTCAGAAACCTTCGTGCGGGGTAGATGATTGGGGCATATTCAAAACTTTGAACCAATATGACTGCTAATGATTATACCCAGGGTTTTGATTTGTTAAGCATCTTACCATTAAATATATAATGAATTAGTCATGTCAAAAATCAAAATGCCTTCCATGATTTTTTCCATCATTAAGATCGCTGGTGAGTTTTAAAAAATAAGCCTTCCCCACTCTTCTTTCTTAATTAATACATAAATTCATCATGTTGGTTTCACCACTGATGATTAAACCAAATTAATTCCTTTACGTGCCACTTAAATGAAACTAATGTTATTCAAGTTCTTGGTTTATAAGTAGGGGTGAATTTATTTAGATTAAGTCAAACTAATATATATAGACAGAAACATATACAATTAAGTGGGAGTTTAAGTCGCAAATATAATGAATTAAGGAAAGCTTCATGGTATAATTAAGCTCGTATATTAGCTAGAACTTTGTTGGTTGTGAGATTCTGCATGCACATGCCAAGCTATGTAGAGGTATTAAAAAAGACATAAACTATTTGAATTTATGTGGTGGCTTGGAGCCTTAGATATTAGCAGCGACCCTTTAATCAATAATGGCTCTCATATGAAACAGAGAAGCACATCTCCTTTTGTATGTGGGCACATGGATTTTGAATTGAACACACACAAACTCTTCATAGTAGATATTGCAATGGCCACACACATGGATTTTGAATTGAACACAAACATATGCAGTATTTTGCAATAAAATAAAATAAATGAAGAGATATTGTTTATGGTTGACTTTATAACCAATGGCATTGGCATTCACCTAATCAGATCAGTATGTCGGGCATAGTCAACCTTCAGGCTAATCCCCAGTTAACTTCAGCCCTTAGGGTCAAGAAATTTATATATTTTTTTGTTATTTTACTGAAAAAACGAAAAAAAAAACTTCATTTTCCTATCTCCTGTTGATGCAATTCATTTATTCAACTGGTTACAGGATGTTGAGGTAGTCAATAATCCTCATGGGTACGTACAATGAGGACCACGTGATGAGTCCGAGAGTCAAAATTCCTATAGTCAACCTTTTCAACTTCTAGCTGTATATGATGTGTTTTTATCTAAGCATAATAGGTTTTACTCTCGTTTGAATTATCTCTAATAATTTTGATATCAGGTTAGCTAATAGTACAGTTGAATATCTCGTGAAAGCTAAAGCAATAATTCAGTCTTATAATTAATCAATAATATAAGTAACAATTAATTAATGGTGTTCAATGCACCAATTGGCAAGTCATCCAATTTCTCTGGATTCTGGAACAATCTGAAGTCTAAACCAATCCATATTCAGGAATCATCAAACTAATTAATTATGAATATTTCACACCAGTGCATTGTATATTTCGTTTCCTGATGGGTTTTAATTAATTATTATCGTGGTTTGTCTTAATTTGGACCACCAATTGATATGGTGTGCTGTGAGAATGATCAACTATAGATATGGCATGAGACTAGTGCAGCATTGTAGCAAGTGAGCAATATTCCCTAGCTATTTAAAATTTTCATAATTTTATTTATCAGTATCATAAGTAACTACGACGTAGATTCGACGTGACCACGTTGTTATTGTCCATTTTAGACGCTTGATTCCAATCAAAAAGCGTGGGAGAAAGCAAACAACTATGCACTAACGTCATTGCTGGCGATTTCAGCTCAGATAAGTTGTTTAAATTTGTACTTTGTAGTGGTTAGTAGTAGTGCTCAGCATAATGATAAGTAAATTAAGATAATAGTTTTTCCACAATCGCCAAGATAATCTGAAGAATCCTAGCTGGTGTGGTTGATATATTTTGTTCTTCCCTCTCCACTTCTTATGTGGTGGCCAAATGAAAATAAAATAAAATCCAAATCGATTTGCCACTATATTCAATTAATTCCACGTGCCAAACAATTTTCATTAATTTAATTAAGTTTATTACATTACAACAATTAGTTTATAGATGTAAGTGTAATGAATAATTAAGGCCATATTCAATGTGGTTGTCACCTTTAAGTTTTAAAATAAAATAAAAAAATAAAAATCAGTTTGTAATTTTATAATATTAAATTATAATATTTTATAAATTTTAATTTTCAAATTCTGAAACTATATTTTAAATTTAAACTACATTGTTATTTCTTAATCAAAATTTGTTAATCAATAATTTGACAATAACTAAGGATAAAAGAAAATGACAGTAAAGATAATAATATTTCTGTAATATAAAAATAATGATGATAATTATTATAATAATATGCATAATGAGAATAACATTTATATTAGTAACATTAGTAACAACAGTGACAGTAATAATAATAATAATAATAATAATAATAATTAAATAAATGATTGACGATGGAACTGATCACACGATAACAATAATAATTGATATGTGTTTTTAAGAGATATAGAAGTTAAATAACTTACTTTTACAACTAAAACTAAAATTAAAGTAAAAATTTATTTATTTTTATAAAATAGATAATTTTATATTGAAATTAAATTAAAACTTACTTAAATATATCTGTTATTTTAAAATTTTGCATTTAAAAATTGAAAACTTACGATCAACCCTA